CTAATTAGCAACAAAAGAGCACTAAATTTTTGACCTATCGCGAATTTGATTTTCGATGGTGGGGGGTCCAGGTTAATGGGGGTAATATTCAAATAGGCTGGTGCGCGCACCGGATATATATTCTTTTCTCAATCGAACAAATTTCAATAACAAAGATGTTTTCAAATCAAAATAAAATAAATATATTCAAATATTTTTAATTATAAATAAAGCCTTTAATATGCGTAATTATTTATTGAATACAAATGGGATGATACGCACACTGACACCTCTAATGGAAATCTTCTCATAGATAGTTCCAAAAATGCCCATGACCGATGGATATGTGCCCATTTTAGAAGGGTATATACCCATCTAAAATGGATATATACCCGTTCCAAATCTTCCTATCATGAGATTTCCACCAGGAACCGCCGGATCTATATTCTTGTCTATATCGAATATATTTCAATAACAAAGATATATATCCAAAAATCAAAATAAAAGAAATATATAAGCTACAACTTGCCGGTAGAGTCACGATGTGAGATATGTTATCTCTATCCGTTTATTCAACGGGAGGGATTTATCGTATCCATAAATTCTTGGCATTGCCTGCATACGCGCGTTTCCGTTTGTCCGGTGAACAGAATGGAGAATCTCGATCCGGAACTGCCAGAGTTGATTATTCCCATCGTGGGAAGAAGTTTGTTGCCATATTGCCACTTCGACATACCGGAAAGCGACTATCTGTCCGATGATAGACGCGACATGAAACTGCCTGGACCCATCGGTTACCAATCGGATGATAATTCTCTTCCGGAGGGCACGAGAGTGATTGTGCTCGACGTGATCGGAATCGGCGGGTCTCACATAAAGTAAATATTACGGGCGTTTTTCAACAAGGACACAATGTAGCATAGTGAATCATTATATCCTTTGTAAGTTAATATTAAACAAAGATGGAATAATTCACTGAATTACACTGTGTCCTTGCTGAAAAATGTTCTATGTCTAATCAAAGAAGCACAAATATAAATGCATTATCACAAATTTCAGAAAATTCCGAATGATAAATCCGACATCAGATGATTATCATTTCATCTGGGAAGATCGTACTCGTCACGTCGAAGACGAGATTCCAAAATTTCATTGTGCACTTCCGGAAGGAATCGCTGAGCGAGGAAAACAAGTGGACTTCACGTTTACGTTCTTCGCGGAGAATATCGGCACTTTCGAATCCTTTTGGTTGTTCCATGTCGAAAAATACAATCTGGACTGTCTCTTTCTATTCGTCGCGACGGTCAGAGAACCATCGGTTTGCTGTTCCCGTGTCCATTTAAAAATGAGACCAACCGTAATGGGTTAGATGAAGAGACCAATAGAAAAATATACTCTCTAAATTCTTTGGAGTGGAATCTTACTTGTCTTGAAAAAGAATGGCTTAAAGATTTTCAATCTTTAAGAGTGATATTTTATTCCTCAGAGTGAGATTCACTTTAAAAATTTAGAGAGTACAAATTCCGTACAATTCTTATGCATTAATATCTGTATTTTCTACAGGTGTCAATGTGCGAGAATCAATAAACGTAATCAATAAAGAGGAATTTCAGATTCCCTTTCAGATCGCGCGAGATTCTTTGTATTCTGAAGGACGTCTTCAATATTTGAAAATAATGCCTATAAGTGGCATTTTGCTTGCAAAAAGCGAACAAATATTTTGGTAAACGTAGAACAAGCAAGAATTCTGAACATAATTTTTTTTAGACATTAATTAAATACTTTTTTATTTATGTAGGATCGAATATCAGCCTACACTTGTTGGTGAATTTCAATTTTCTGTAAAATGCATTATAAAGAAAATGAAGGCACCATTGACTATATTTGTTACGACGACAACATACGATGTTATTGTTTCGGTTACATATGTTGATCAGAACGGCCAGATAGTGCAACTAAATCAGGATAAAGAGAATATTATCGACTGTGGAAAGGTGCGTGTATAATAATTTGTTTTAACATTAAAAATAAATTTTAACAATATTAAGCATTCTTAATTTTTAGTTATTGTTAAAAGCGCCCGTTACTATCGTCTTTGAAATAATAAACTCGAGCAAAATGACGCTTTATTATTCTTGGGATCTCGGAATGATATCAGAAATAGTCAGCAGAAATATGTACACGATTGCAATGCCTCAAAAGCAAGATCATGTGCTTAACGAGTCGCGTTCCATCTGTTCTCTCATTGTTACAGCATTACAAAAGACGGTGATAAAGAATCATCCCATTCTCTTGAAGGTACCGTTATCGTTTAGATGTCAATACTGCCGTATGCTTGATGAGAAATATAAACGTAAACTTTGCAAATCTGTGTGTCCCTTTTTTTTATTCAGATTTCCAGAGGGCCGACCTACCAACTAATCTTAAAAGCGACTGCGAATAAACCAATTCTGGAGTTTAGTTTTAATTATTACAACTTTGGACCTTGCTACGTTCGAAATGTTTCTGCGGCTTCTTATCACGTCGATTTACGCATCACGAATTCAGATGATATTTCGTACATGTAAGCTGATTTAACGTACTTACAGGAAATTGAGACATTAATTTTCGAACGAAACAATTAATTTTCACAGACTGGAGTGCAAGTTTGAAGAGAAACCACACATCTCTGTAAATCTGGACGCTCTTTCAGAGACAATAGTCGCTCGATCAAGTATTGTCATTCCGATAATATTTCGACCTTTAGAACAGGTGCATTATCGCGATGATTTACATTTTATAATCAATTCGACGATCGAAAAAAAGATTACTATAACCGGCGAAGGAATCATATATAAGGTAATGACACACATAAATGTATGCGTTAAGAATTAATTCAATTCGTAATTTATGTCATTTGTTAATAACTTATTAATTGTTTGACGCGTCATCGTAGTCAATGCAAAAACTTATTTAAGTAAATATTATACTCGCAGAATTATTTTTACTTGTATGCTGTTATGATAGATTCGTTTAGTAAATCCACGCGATAAATCGGTGGATCTTGGTAATCTACCGATTAACAAAACGATAAGCAGAAAGGTGCCAGTGATCAATGATGGACGTGCTGCGCTCGAATTAAAGTTCGATCTCATGAAGAATCTATCTGGATATGATTTATTCCACGAAAGAATTCATTGTCCGTTGATCGATCAGGAGAACTCTAAAGTGGATCGCACTCGAGCATCGATAACTGAAACGAAACGTTCGAATACCCTTGACGAAACTCTTCAGACAGACGAGGCTAATCTGTCTCAAGTTCTGAAGATCGAGCCGGCAGAATCGATCGTACTTCAGCCAGGGAAGATCGCGAATGTTGTTGTAAAGTACAAACCTATTCGCAGGATACATCCTTTTGTCATTAAGGTGGCCTTCCAAACTAATTCTACGATCCAACCGTTATTTATCTTGCGCGGAAGCTGTATAGGCGCGGAATTCCGTTTGAACAAGACTTATGTGCCTTTCGGCATCGTTGTTCGAGGTTGTCTCAGCGAAACAAAGATAATGCTATTGAATACGGGAGATATTGGTGCCAGGTTGGTGCCATAAACAAATAAAAAATAAACAACGAATATATAAGACTTTATATTAATCTGAAGAATCAAAAGATTTTGAAATATCTTTTAAAGTTACATAAAGTTCTTAAAAATATGTTCTTTTTTTAAACAAACGATATAAGCGCGTTCTTTATTTTTTATATAATGATTCTTTTCTCCGGTATTTTATGGGTATTATATTTGTTGTTATGTAATTCATGTTATTATTTTCCCATTAGTTTAATAACGTCGTATGTGATGTATGATCTATCAATTTCTAGATTCAAGTGGAACATGTTGAAATTGCCTGAAGACTTTAACATAGCTCCTGCAACTGGCTATTGCTCTCCTGGCATGGACGTCAACTTCGTTATCAGTTTCCAACCCACTCGGCATGATAGTTTGATCGAGGGCAATGTGAGCGTATACAATTTCTATCTTTATACCTGTGCACACAAAATACTTGATCTTCGACGAGATTCTCGTTTCTTACTCCTACAATATACACCAAACGTAGTTTCAAGAAATACACTATACTTCTTGCTGTAGAAATTTCATTTATACACCGTATTTAATTTTCTGAAATAACTTTTTCCCATTAGAACTTAAGAACAGGACTCTCACGTATGTGCTTGACATATATTTTATCTTTGTCATATTTATTTTAAAAATTGTCTTAATATTATTTTCAGTAAAATAACAGTATAATTGTTATTTTATTGTAAAAAGATCTCCAATATTATATATAAATTCTATCGTAATTTATATTGAATCTGATATTAATTTTAAACGCATGTAACAAAGAATCTAATTGAACATACGAAATGTAGTCTTTCGATAAAAGAAATAGTTTATTTTATTTTCAGGCAACGCTTGAAATTGAAAAATATAGAGATCTCGGCTTAAGAATTACTGGAGCTAGCTGCAAACTGCCTGATCCGATCGACACTCTGTTCTTCTCGTGTCGCGTTCGCGAAAAAATAATGAGGTCTCTGAACGTTGAAAATGATATTGTAACTTGGAAATTGAAACCGGAGATTACCGGCGAATATTTTTTCGTCGACAAGGTCTCGTATGATCCTTCGAAAAAATCTGCTACCTGTACAATCGCCTATGTCCCTCTAGTCATGAATTGCGAAAGCAATCTTCACGAAGTAATTAAATGAGAACTTGGTTAATTTCTTATAAAATAATCGTACATTCCTTAATAACATAGAACAGCTTTATAATTTTAACGTAAAGGTCGAGAAACGTAATATTTCCGTAAATTTTAGGGTACGTTGCTTCTAAAACTGCCAGATGACAAAGCTCCTTTAGTGTACTGTCTTCGAGGACTTAGTCTACCTCCACAAGTTCTCCAAAGGATTACGCGTCAATTCCCGGCAAAGACAAAATACACTGAATTGTTACCTGTTTACAATTGGCTCAGTAGGCAACAACGATTCGAATGCCAAATTGAGAATATAAATGGCAAAGACCCCGTCGAGGTTCAAAAGTTTTACGAGAGATTACAGAAAACTGTGAAATAATTCTAAAATTTGTTTTTTTTCTTAATTTACTTTTTAGACTGTCAAAATGTTCACTTTTGTCGGCAACACCAAGATAGACGTTCCAGCAAACGGCCAACGAGATTATCGCGCAGAGTTCTATTCCTACAAAGAATCAAAATATAATTTTAAAGTAAATTATTGTGAGAAAACACAAATAACATAAAAAATTTTTTTTTTCAATTTTAACAGATAGGGCTTTCAAAATAACAATTTTATAACCGCTTCTAACGGTATTTTCATAGTGTAAAATTATATTTTGCAAAATAATTAGAACTACTCATGTGTGCATATAGATAACATTCACTAACGAAGAGAACGAATATCAATTTTACGAACTCCAGTATGATATTACAAGACCACAAGAGATAGAATCGATCAAACTGATCACTGTGGTACGATCTCCAGTGTGTCATGCTTTAGAACTTGATAATCCACTTAAGAAGCAGGACATAATATATACGGCAAAATGTCAACATCCCTGCATCACAATCCACGACGTACCAAAGCTCGTGGCACCATTATGCAGCGTTAGTCATTGAATTTGGTTCATAATACTACGTTACAATCAAATAAAAAAAGTTAAAAATCATATTTTTGGTCGAAACAGATCTAAGAAAAATGCTTAATAATATTTACATATATTTTATATGTAAATTTGTTTAATATTTATGTAAAATTTGCAAATACATTTTTTTAGTCCTATAAATTATGCGCCAATTCCATTTGTCGGATTTTAAATGCGACTAAAATTGAAAATGACGTTAATCATAAATTATTGATCAATTTAATAATAAGGATTATTAAATTAACTTAATTTGATTTCATTCAATAATGATTATGAAATTATTAGGCACCAAGATTAACTTCGATGGAAAATAGGATTCTTACTTTTATTTGATTTATCTTTATCGGTCAGATTTTTACTTATAATTATTAATACGTTGCGAGTTAAAAATAAGTTCGATTTTCCGAAAGTACATTAAAATATTAATCTTTTGCGGTCCAAATTTATTTGGAAATAAACGAAAATCGAGTATTTCATCCTTAATTTTATCTAATTGACTAATCTAACATAAAAATCAAAGAATTTTTATGAAAATTGCCAAAGTATCATTTATCAATTATAATTGCGATTCGAATGCTTGAAGAATTATGCAACAGGCTACCGCATTGTACAAAAGAACCGTACAGAGTTAATAAATAAATAATTATATTCTCAACTTATAAACGGAATAAATTTAATCGTGGCCAACAAACAACGACGGTGCCAGTAACGATCTCCGCGAATGTGATAGGAAATTATCAGAATCGAGTACCGCCCTTTACATCCCGCCGAGGAAACTACGGTAGCCTTGGACGTCAACTGCGAGGAGCTCGGATTGTTTCCCTACGAGCTGCGATTGCGAGCGATACCAGCATCGCCGGAGAAAACGACGCGCGTTGACGCGGTGCTCGGCAGTTCCGTCACCTTTTCCCTGAATGTAACCAATCACGCCGAGAACACTGCAATATTCATTATCAAGGTGAGCATAAAGCTGCGTTTCTTCTTTTGCTACAACGATCGATGGAAGAGTCTCGTTCTCATATATTCCAGGTGAATAATGAATGCTTTACGACTCCGAAGAACATCGAGGTGCCGGCGTTGAGAAGTGCATCATTCGATGTAACTTACGAACCTTGCGACGTCGAAAATGTCTCTGCTACTATGACAGCCACATCCGAGATTGCCGGCGAATTTGTGTACGATAATTCGCAATTAAAATTAATCCTTTGCGATCTTATGTCGAATTAGATTCGACGTTATATGTTACTAATTTAGTAGTTTACCGCATAATACTTTAAATGATCGAGTCTGTACGCGATTAAAATTGGCAAACTATATTTTCGGGATTTCCATAAATTCTTTGAAATAATGAAGAGAAATTTTTTTATTCATATTAGACTAACTGATTGCATGAAACTGAAAACGAAATACTAATTGATTTTTTATTCATTTGAAGTAATTTGAACATCAAAGGGTTAATCTGTCCTGCTGATCGCAGCGTTATTAAATAAGTCAAATATACGGAATGTGTTTTGTCTAAATTGTTTATATACAGATTTCCTCTCATCGGTACGTATTCATTGCCAAAACCTCAAGGACCATATACAGTTGCTGCCAATGCACCAGCTTCTATATCCTTCAAGAATATATTTAGAGAAACCAAATCTTTCGAGCTTATCTTCGACGATCCCCAAGTTTTCGTAACAACGACGTCATTGGATAAAATTAAGCAAAAACAAGTAATTCTATTGATTTTTATATAATTATCTTTTTTTAACCCTCACCGTGTATACGTTTGTTTAGTACCCATTAGTAGTATATAACCGATCATCCGTTTTTTGCAAGTAATCCGTTTTTTGTATGTAATGTACGACAAGCTTTTCAAACCTGTTGATTGACTGTAGGACAAAGAAGTTCTCAAATCTCTCTATATCTTACAACCAATTAACATGTAAACTTAAAAAATTTGTCGTACGACAAATGTAATATCAGCCTAAAGGGACAGTAACAGAAACATTAATGAAGCTTCTAGAAAGCAAAATTTGAGACAATAAAATGTAAAGAGGCGTTTACTTCTTAATTTTCGTCTCTTGAAAGCTTCATTTATGGTTCTGTCACTCTTCCTTTATATTCGACTTATGCTGCAATCTTTATTTTTGCCAGGATAAAGTGTTTAATAAAACAATTATTTATTAATTATTACAACATTAATATAAATCAATATAAATTAAACAAATAATATAAATTATGTAAATTATATAATCAATATAAATTAATATAAATCAATATTACAAGGTGATCTCTATTGTCGTTCGACTAAAAGATAATGGAAAAAGAGAAATGGAAGATGATTATCCAGTAACCGGAAAACTTCTGGTGTACTGCACAGATCCAAAAATTTCTCACATAAATTGGACTTATTATTTAAGAGGTATACGCGAATAATAAATGAGTAACATGTTAATATCTAACGAGATCGAGAAGTATCGCTCCACACTTTATCACATTTTTTTTCTTTGTGATATGAAATACTGTATTTGATTACGAATAATAATTATATCATTGAAATAAATAAAATACACGCTTTTTTCATGTTTTTACGTTCTGCATATGCGATCATTTAAAAAATATCTAGAGGTGCATTCCGTTTCACGTTTCATGATGTATCATTAACTATATTTACACACGGCATCCTTAATCGGGTTTAATAACATCCGTAGTTATGAAATTAGCCAATCTCACAGTCGTTTCATTCTTCCGAGAAACAGCTATGATTGGCTAATTTCATAACTACGGATGTTATTAAACTTGATTAAGCATGCCGTGTAAATGTAATCATTTTATCATTCTTTGGTCTCTATTTCATTTGTGCGGTTTTGTCGTATGAGTTTTGCAAGCCTGTTGATTGGCTACAAGACAGAGAGATCCGAAGACCTCTCTGCCCTGCACACATTTATTGACGCACAAATAACAGTTGTACTCTTTGAATGTGTTCCGTTTTAAGTCTGTTTATAAATCATAGTCGATTATTTTTTTCATATTCAACTATGATTGACCAATTTCTTACGGCTTACACCTGTGATCCTATTGTAGAACAAACGTTACGCGCATAATGCATCGTTTTTTTTTATCCTTGTTGTTCACAGAATATTAAAATCCCATGGTGTAAATATATAAAGTGAAGCATTGCGCATGGTATAAGTACCCATACAGCACCGAAAGTTTTCAGAAATATCTCAGAAATATTTCAAATGAAAAGTGAAACATTTCATAAAAATTACAAAATATGTCTGCAACATTTCTGAGACAGCTCTGGAATAGTAAAATGTCCGCGATTCTTGCACATGAAACCTTGTTGAAAGATTGATGAAATGTTACAGAAAAAATCTACAATCTTTTTGAAATATTACCAAAAAATTTTAAGCTATTTTTAATACTTCAAAAATCATATTTAATTTAAATATATACTTGATTGATACTTAAATAATATTTAAATTTATTATGTCGACATAATAAAAAAAACATACATTTAAATATCATTTCTGAAGTACTTCAAATTTATTAAGAGTTTTGTAATCTGTTTACAGATTACAAACTTGTTGAAATAAACTTAAAGTATTTCTCAATCACCAAAAACGGTAATTATATCGCCAATTATTTTGATTAATTAACCACATTATATGTATAAGCACATATACATAATCACTATTAGAAAGATAGAAAGTCACTTATACTATAGTTTTTCAAAAAAAAGAAATGTGCAGGACACGAAAGATCCAACCGTACTAGAGAAAATTTGAGGTGAAACAAAGATAATCATGCGTAAAATGGAACGTATTTTAAAATTCTAAATACTCCGCTTGTCCATCGTACGTCATCGCCCGCACACGCGCAGTGACACGCGTCTCGCTCGTGTCGTCCATGGTCAATGGTGACGGTGTCGAACTTCGTCCAACACGGTCGAAGGATCGAACTCGACGAGCGCCATAGTGATTCGCTCCGTGTAATGGTGGTAGTGGTTCATAACTTCGTAAACACGGAATTCACGAAAAGTTCCAGAATCATTCCTAGCTAAAGCCGTCGCCCGCATCAACATGTAATTTTCGTGAAACCGGCGTCACTTGGATCCCCGTGATCGCCGCAATCGCTCCGTAATGAGAACCTAACCTAACCTAACAGTGACACTTCCGCGACGATCTTACGATCGGCACTGATCGGCATTGCTGCCGCTATCGCTGCTGTAGTTATTCTAATTCTTTGTAAAACTCTAGTATCGCTCGCTCCGTTTCGTCTGCAAAAAACGGTATCTTAGCGAAGTCAGATTCGCGATAACCTTGGCAAAGTCGCGAAGGCGCAATTGCGATGACAGCGCGTAGGAGCGGCTCGCGTTGGTTGATCTGACAGGATCAGGGTGATCAGGCATGCACCTGATGCATGCGGCGCAATCATACGCGGGCGATCGTCTTCGGGTGTGTGTACTTTCGTCCTACGTCGTGCTACCATGAGCGAAGAGTCTAGAAAGATAGTGACCAGGTTCCACCCCATCCACGGTGAGAACATCCTTCTGTGCGAGGACAGTACGGTCGCGGTACGAACTACGAGCTTTGCCAATTCGGTGGCCTTCAGCGAAAAGCCGTTGCAGCCAGGGGAGATCTTCCTCGTAGAGATCGAGAAGACGGAGAGAGGATGGAGCGGACACATGAGACTGGGTCTTACTTTGATCGATCCGGCTTCGGTCAATAACAACCTGCCTCAATATGCGATGCCCAATCTGGTTAGATTAGGCAACACATGGATCCTCGCTATAACTAGGAATCAAACTATCTGGGACAATTTTGACGGTGGTTTATCTTCCACATACACCTCTATCACAGGTTAATATCTGTTACAAAATTACTATGATAATTTAATAAAAATTCTCTTTATCAATTTGTTACTGTTAATTTTGGAAATTAAAGAGGAAGTTTATTAAAAATGATGTATACTATACCTGTTTTTTTTTAGCTGAACTTCTTGCAAGGTTTATCTTTCTTTTTCTTTTCACATTGAAAAGAAAAAGATAAAAGAACTGTACAAGAAGTTTAATTAGAAAAAATGGACCTACTATATTCGTAATATTAATATAAAAATTGCTATGAGTTTTAAAACATAATTATGAAAATATCGAGACATAATAAAAGAGCAAGAACAATAATATATGTATTAGATGAATTTAGAATTTATATATGTTGCATATTATACACTTGTTGAATGTTACATATTTGTTCATAAAAAGGACTACCACCGGGAATACCAGCCAGAGAGAAGAAATTGGTCACAGATGGAGTCAACGTGCAAACGTCACGCGGTGTTATTCCTTTCAATGCTCTAAAACCAAATATAGATGGTTCTTCCCAATGCATCCTGCCCACGGATGCGGGCAGTCGTATTGGTATCATGTACGTGCCGCAGGCCGGTTGTCCCGATAAAGCAGAAATGCATTTCATCATCAATGGTGAGGATCAGGGCGTGTGCGGCAAGGATATTCCTTATAAAGCAGGACCTTTGCGCGCAGTAGTGGATGTCTATGGTACCACGAAACAAGTTCGAATCGTTCAACTGTATGGAGGTAAGTATCTATGTCTTAGATCATGTCCTGTTTCTTTATTCAGCATAGTTTCTAGATTGTTTCTATATGTTTCAGCAGTATCAACACTACAGAGTGCATGCCGTGACGCTATATTGCAATACACCAAGAGAAATGCAGTCAATTTGCTCCCTTTGCCGAGACTATTGAAGGACTATCTCTTATATCAATCACAGTGAGAATCAACTCATTCCGCTTTTGCATATGTTAGGAAACATTACCTGTCAATTTCTATATCTTTTCCCAGTGATATCTTCAGTGTTTATATATGCGTAATATATATGTTCTATTCATTATTGAAAACTGCCGAATCATGTCGATTCAAAGCGTTGGTACGAATGTTATTCGTTTCTATAAACATATCTTTTCGAAATGTATACGATAGAAATTATTGACTATGTTTAATAATGAAGAATTCTTTTTACTCGCGCGTTTTGAAGATTTTTCTGGGGCAGAAACGCTAAATCATAACGTGTATATAGTGTAACGAAATGTTGATCGCTGCAAAATCAAAAAATTCAGCGAGATCATATTAAAAGTTTAAATATACATAACTATTATTTGAAAATGACCATATATGGGGCATAACAACGCCATATGTAAAAGTTAGATATATTTTCGGGCAGTTACTTTCATTTTTCTTATATTTCCTTATTTCTCTATTTATTATGAGATATGTAGATTAAGTTGCAATTGGCACTGTTGTTAAACAAACAAAAACGAACAATGTTAGTATAAGTGTCCAAAGCAAACCTGTTTTACAAAATAAAGGTATTTATAAGAAGGAAACAGAAAACCACGTTGATATCAGAATCCAGTCTATCCGTACATTCAATATATTTATACACATATAAACTGATATATATTTTTTTAAATTTATATATATTCCTTGTTATATAATCACATATCTTGATAACAAGATACATATCCTCAACAACGTCATTTAAAATAAATTTATTTCGTATGTTAGAGAAAGAGAGAGAGTTAATGTGTTATATGGTATAATACGTAGGGAAACATGTACTCAACAGTACAATATAAGCGAGAAACACGCTTAGGAACGTTAACCATCCTATGAGCACTATAATATATTTCCATGGTGATTTTTTGCTGTTCGATTGCACGAGGTCGGTATTATCGTCCATATTTGTTTCTATCTTGGCTGTCACGGCTGGGTCCAGGATGCTAGCTAGAAGAATTTGTCCAACTCGACTACGCAAAATGGATGTCGTGACGGTTGAAATCCACATGGGTGGCTCGGTAGTCAATTCTTGCAGATGTCGCAAGATACTGGTGACAATGAGAGCGAACGTTGCTATCCCAAGGGAGCTCTCATAAAAGAAGACTAAAATAAAAAACATTTGAGATTATCCTTTCTTTCTTTCTCTATGTTTTTCTCTATCACACGTAATTAAACTGGAAAAAATTAACTAAAAAGCTACCGGTCATGTCAGATATATTTACGAATTAAATATATAATTAGGTGAATTAATTTTACAGAAAATTAATATATGGAAATATTAGTTGCAAAATGTTAAGAATTATAGATTTAAGATAAACGATATTATAAATAGCGATTTTTTAAATTATTGTCTTATTAAATATATTTACGTATTTTGGGAATGTTAAAGCCACTTTTTGGTACTTCCCAATGCACGCCTTGTATACATAATAAATGACAAATAAAATTGAGATTAGCGATCACCATTCGCTCGAAGGATTTCGGTTCTAACCACAGTGTCATCAGAGTCATCACCATTAGTACTGTGAATATCACGTAAAATACAATTTAGGTATTAAAATTAATAGAAAAAACAATTAAAATTAATTTACTTGTTGAAAAAATTAAGTTATTATCTATTAACAAGTATACCAAATTTAAATTATCAAAAATTGTTTTTACAAAATTTGACCGCTTTTATATATGCTTTGGATAATAAGGATAGTTTAATAATGAAGTAATATTAATTAAAATTAAAGTAAAATACATGCTACGAACCTATAGCAGGTGATAAATATACAATGCGTATTATGCTCGAATGACTCCTCAGAATAAAGTGAAAAGAGATCATTTTGATGGTCGAATCTGAATTGTACTTGTATCTGTTTTCCCATTTTGTTATATAAATTTTTTCTAAATTCCACTCGGTATGTTTTGATTCTATATTTGACTGTAAAATTATTCAATTAGCAGATTGAAAATTAAAAAGGCATATTACTTAATAATAGGCATATTTAGCATATTAAAATTAAAGGCATATTATTATACTTGCATAGACACAAAAATAAATTTGTTTTCATAGAAAAACAAAAAAATATACCAAATTCTGATTGGAAACGAGCTCAATCTCATCACCAGAATGTGACCACGATCCAAATTGTATAGTACAATTCAAGGTATTGTACGGCCACCACGTATAATCTGTGAAACAACTTGAGGTATATTTTGCTGCCACAAACCATCTAACTGTCCCTTGTCTCGAGACCCAACATTTTGAATGTTCATTATTCAATGAGCTTTCTCCAAATCGTCTAAACGTACAAATAATTTTATAAATTCTACTTGAATCTAATATTACATATTCCGCAATTTAAATGTTAGAAGTTAGCAAATATCAAGATATTTTATCATCATCTCTCTGAATCTCAGATTTATTTTCACTTTCCAATATAATCTTATTGATGCTTGTTGAGATTGTATGGTTGTTTTTTCTGCCAGATGTCAATAGAAATTTTTTAATTGGCACAATACTATAGTATTTACTTACTATAGTATTTTAATAATATTTAAAACGTAATTATAGGAATACAATTCTCGAATTCTGATATTAAAAAATTAATATATTTATATAAGAAAGTGGCACATAGATATTAATATAATTATTGATAAATTTAGATGATAATGTTTTTAATTATAGTAAAAGAATATATACTCATCGCTTACCCATTATGCATCAAAACGTCGGGTATCCAAATTTGATAGCCTATTACTGGTATCCATTTGATGTTATCGTATTGTGCAGGGTCCCATGTCAAATGCGAATCATTCCACATCTGTCCAAACAAAAATATTAATAATTAATCAAACTTGAACTTATGTTTAGAAACTTACAAAGTAAATTATGTTAATTATTAAATTGAAAGTGCGTTCAAAACTTATTCATGAATTAAACATCTAAATAATCGATAGATATATCACTTCCTTTTCTTAAACTCATTTCTTAAATACATTCATATGGATATTCATACATTTACATGCAGTTATGTAGACTTACCATTGACATCCACGTATGCAACACGAACATTTCACTTTCGTGAGTCTAAAAAATAAATTACAATTTTAAATTCAATTCTATGAATCTTGTTTTGTAAATTAATACTCATTTTTTATCTATTTAAAATTGCAAAAAGATATTGATTCTTCGCATTTTTTAATATTTTACATTAACATTGACAGATATTACCATAATTTTATTATTATTATCATTATTATTATTATTATTACTTACGTATTCAAAGAATTTTGGCTTCAGATAAAAATTCACACGCGTCATATTATTATTATACTGAACCGGTCTTACATCGGGATCATATTCGCATAGGAGATGTCTTTTCAATTGCACCATAGGCGATATGTTCTCAGAGCTACAACTGCTTTCTGCTATTATATCGGTAATACATGCAATGAGACTAAACAGGAAGACGGAAAAGAAACCGTTTCTGTCCATCTTGAATATCTATACGACGAATGGATCTATAATGACTGAATCGCTTAGCAATGGAATGTGAGAGCAGAACTGATGATAATTATACGCCCAGTGAAACGTAAAACTGCAGACCATGAAGACCGCCCCCTTAGGAACAAGCTCTTATCAATAATAGAAATAATTTCATCTCTTTTTTAAATAAACGAACGACAAATACATTTTTCGGATAGAAGCACAATATTATCTTAATTGTATTAACTTTTTTATTATTTCAAGTCATTTCGTCTATTTTGAACTTGAAAGATGCAACATATAATATGTATAATATTTGTAATGCTTTCATTATGATAATTTTGATAATTACAACTACGATTATTACAATTGTGATAATAATATTTGAATTTATGATAAATAGAAAATTTTCAAGCAGATAAAAATAATGGAGATAAAAATGATCTAATTATTCAGAAAATCGAATTTAAAACCAGCTTATTTTTATATTAATAACGTTTTATTGATCATTTCATTGATTCTTTAGTATAGCATTTTTAGCAAATTTTATATACATTTTATGTACATTATTCATTTTAAATAACTCTTTTCTTTTCAGAGACTTTTTAAAATGTAATTATTAAATACTATAAATTATATAAGTTATTCGTATAAAAAGTATGATTAATAAGGTTTAATATAGAAGGAAAAAAACAAATAAATGATATTTTAAGTAAAAATAACTCAAACAATTATTTATTTTAATTATTTACAAAAGAGTAAACAGAACAAGTTATTTAAAAGGATATTGAACATTATAGAAAATATTTTGACTGTGCCATGAATCAATTCGTAGCTCCTAAAGGTACAAGAGTGATTAAGATGATGGCATAAGTGAGGATCACACAGAAGAATGACAACCACTCAATAATGGCGGCGAAATGTCTCCAGGATTCTTTCTTCGTTTCGGACTTTGGAGAATCCGAGTTGTCTTCAGTTACTACACCTCCATCTGCTATCTTGGATTCCTCGTCGTTCAGGACCAGGAATCGACCAGCCCCGTTACTCAAAATGAATGTCGTCGTAGAAGATATCCAACTTGGCATTTCCATGCTTGTGTTTTGCAGTTTACGTAACAATGCTGTCAGAATTAATGCAAAAGTGGCCAACATCAAAGAGTCACGGTAGAACAGCACTGCAGGATAAATAAAGAAATATAACTTGTTATTTAAAACTTAAATTATGATTTTAATTATATGATTCTAATTACATAATTCTAATTAATCTATATACTTATCGTATTTTAATTTATATATCTACCTTTTTCATCTTTCTTCTTATATATCTATTTTATTTCTATCGCATTAAATAATATTCATACAACATTTAATGTATGTATATTGAAAAAAATTGCTAATACGAGAAGATTTTATCACAAATGTTACAAAATTTAAATATCTCTCCCAAGTTTAAGATATTTTTTTATCTATAATTATATGATGCTCTTTGTGGTTTTGATACTCACTTATATAAGGAGAATTGACACCATTGAATGGCACCATCCAGAACAAATCGAATATGCAGAGTAGGTGACAAATAAAATTTATACTCGCCATCGCTACTCGTTCAACTGATCTTGAATCCAACCAGAGCACCGTTAAGGTGAGGAATATCAAAGCTAAAAAAGGCATTCATGATCTAAGTTTATCATGCAAATTTGCTTTTGCAAGCAATTGCTTACCGATAGCTGGCGTAATATAAGCTCTATAATGTATACTATAGTGCCGAGTTAGTAAAAATGTGTAATCAATTCTAGGAAAAGTATCATTCGGACAACATTTATACTTTTTAACGATTTTTTCTGCGTTTAAAAGTTTCAAGTCCCACTGTGTATTATTTTCGTAACCGTTCATATCAACCTGTGATATAAATATAGTGAGTTACTTTTATTTTTCGTAATATGAGATAATAAGATATACTTATTTATAGCAAAAATAAATAAATAAGCAGAATAAAGAATAGAGGCGAAAATTGCGCACCAAACTTTCAAAATTAAATTAAAATGTAAAAAGGTAAATAATTTAATAATTTTGAATCGCGGAATTTTTACTTAGCAGTTTTATAATATTGCATTAGTACAAAGTGTCATTAAATTTTATAATACATAATTTTTCATTAAAAATAATATTTGAAGAAAAGTATATGTCACTGCGCTTGGCTTAGCGCCGAGACACTACCGTGTCTCCAGATAGAAAATGTTGACCATTGCAAGTTTGTAACAAGTCGAATAATTTACATACTCCGGTTCCATCTAGATGGACATCTATTTCCTCTCCTATATGCGACCATGAGCCGAGTGTGATAAGACATGTGTGCTGATCATAGGGCCAATAAGTGTAATCGGGATCGCATTTTGACACAATTTTCATAGGTGGCACGCAAATGACAGAACCATTATTAAAGACCAAACATTCCGTGTTTAAAATTGTCTCGTAATCGTTACTCGTCATATCGCCACTAAAAGTACATGAAAAATGACCGAAATATTTATAGTCGGATTTATATCATATAACTGAATACTAATATAAAAATGAGAATTAAAACATTTATCTTAAAGTAAACAATTTATCTAAAAAAATAGAAAAATAGAAATAACAAATTTAAATGTATAGATATGAATTTCCTTAATTTAAAAGAGATATATAAATTAGATTATTTTTTCATTGTATTATTTCCGCATATTCGATCAGATCTCTTTTGCAATCGTTTTCTTCATTCATCCTTCATTCAAAAATACTTTAAATTTTGCTTCAATTTTATTAATATTAACAATGAGTATATAATAATTATATGAAGCTAACTTACGAATTGTAAACATAAATATCAGGCATCCAAAGATAGAAAGGCTGCACGTGAATATAAGTAAGTCCATTATAATTACTTGGTGTCCAAGTTAGAAATGTGTCCGTCCAAAACTGTTAATTAAATAACTTATTAAAATAGAAATATTCGATATAATAAAAAAAATATTCTAGACTTACAAATGACATCCAGCTATGAAGTGTTAATACACCATCCTCGGTCTACAAATAAAATTGATTAATTTTTCTTACGTATAGTTATTGTTTAATAATTGTTTAATAAAGATAAAAAATCACAAACAATAATAATAGTTTATGTTTCGATATAAAACATGTTTTAATCAATTTTTAAATTAAATCATGTTTTTTATGTCAAGAAATAAAAACTGTACGACAAGATTGCTAAAATACAATAATTTAAATAATAAAAAATTCCCACTAAATATATACTATAATACATCATGCTGTCTCGAAATATATTTAAAATATGATTTAGAGTACGCGCGCTTAGCACAACTATTTATTTACAATCATATAATACAATCAATAACGATGCACTTACGAATTCCATCATTTTCGGCATCAGTCTGAGAGTTATATTGGTAACTACTTTATGATGATTTGGACGGACGGTGCTATCATAATCGCAAAAGAGATACTTTTTAAGACGCAACAGCGGCGTTGTATTTTCCAATTTTTTGCACCCTCGTGTTACAATATCTTCTGTTATATCCTTCATTTTGAAAGCTAAAAAAAATATAGAAATTTATATTAAAATTTAATTAATATCAAATTTTTAACATAAATCAAAATATTTTAATATATATATATGTATATTACTCTTTGTTTGAGTATTTTTGAAATGTTTTTACAATAATATAAAAATTATTTTTAAATGATATAGATAACATATAATAGAATTAATTGTCCATACAACACAGAATTTGCAGCAATATCGTTGCAAAATCTTTGCAATATTGCTGCAACTTTTGTGCAACTTTGTGCTGTAGGGGTGCTAAATTACTAAAATAGAATGTAGAAAAATATACGTAATAATAATAGTTGTTTTAATAAAGATTATTTAACGTACCAAATTGACCATGCCAAAGGATTACGAAAAATCCAAACACTTGTAGTATTCTCATCCTGATCGAAACGAGCCGACGGCTCTGATATGACTAATTCTTTTCGTTGTAGTAGCGTAACAATCAGACGCCTTATGAAATTCGAAACTACTGATATATTGGACGCCCCCAAAGGTATAATCAACACTGTTAGAAATGCTTCCTTTACGAGTACATATATGTAAGTGAAGCTCGCAGTTATGAATTAAAAGTAATGAATGATTTAACTGAAACTTAAGTTATAGTAGTTACTTAAATGTAATGAACAAGTACATTAAATTTCATAAAATTTGTGAAAAGTACATTAAGTTTCATATACATGTACACAAATATATTTTTCATCAGTTATAAATACATTAAATTTAATGTAATATCATGAAATTAAATTCAAATCGTGTAACTTAAGTATAATAAATTTCATGAACATTGAATATTGAGAGTTACGTGATAATTAATTAAATAAAGACTATCTCCCAAATAGCAAAATGACGTCAAATGACGTCTTAATAACGTTTTAATAATGTCTTTAACGTCAATAAGACATCATTAAAACGTTGCCTTGCTACCTGGGCTTGTATGCGTAATTAATAATTTAATTAATTTCTGATCAAAGTTCTTACAGGTCTTACGAGAATAAGTTACGAGACATATGATGATAATTATTTTTAGTTAATTGTAACGTGGTGCGAAAATCTTCGTCCCAGCACAAAGCACACCTTGTATACTCGCGACGAGTATAGTGTGTGCGCGGATATAGCTGCGTTCAAGATACAAGGCGTGCACTCCCTATAATTGAGCCCAATGTATGTACAAGCCGCGCCGAGTTCACGTGCTCAGAGCATGAGCCGCTTGAACTCTTAACTGTCAAGTATATGCGCTTGCGCTGATTAACTAATCATTAACAATTAATTAGAGATTAAATGAAGACGCAACTTTTTTACTAAATAAGAGCCTCTGCTCAGAACATTCCTCTAAACATCATCATTTGTACAGATGAAAGTTGCTGAAATTCACAATTCTTTAATAGATCACCATAAGATACAATAAATTATAAGATAAAATTATTAAACAACATTTAATAAGGCGACATACTTGAAGTACATGTGATAATAGCGAGCGTCAGTGGTCGCATTGTAATAAAAATAGCTAAATCAAACAATATAAATTGCCACTGGCAAGCCATCACGCGACAATCGGTCGAGCGACATACCTGCGGAATTCCATAATGAAAAAGCGCATATGAACACACAGAATCTTTACGCTTTTATTTAATAAATCTTTTAATGATACAATGTTTATTAATGGATCCTTAAACGAAAATTTAAATTTCGCATCTCCTACTGTGAAAATAAAAGTTGTTGAATATTAAGAAACTCGAAACTGAATATTCAAACAAGTTAATTCGGACAAGCGAATTTTGTCTTATAATATGCGCTTGCATAAAAATGGAATTACGAAATTATGTTTTTTTAAAAAATGCAGATTTTCAGCCCGTTTTTACCAAACATACTTACTAATACGTAAGTATATTCCAAAATCTATATAATCTTTAGCAATTATAAAGACTTTGAATACACTTCAAACTTTTCCAATCATATATCGTTAATTTAAGGTTTATTTAGCAAAAACGAGCTAGAGGCCCACCACCACCCCCGCCGATTTTATCGGCGGTCCTCTTTTCTTTGTAAGAATACTCACTCGTAAAAAACGGGCTACTGATAAATTTAGTAGACCGTTTTTGCAGACAAGTATATTTAAAATTTATTATGATTAGCGAAATACGATAAAATCAGATTGCATAACTTTTTTAATACTATCTTTTATTGTAATCCTTTATACATTCAGAAATACAATAATAATTGTTTATAATACAATGTACAATTATAAATGCTGTTCGAAATATAATAAAAATTATATTATAGGAGCATAATTATAACAAATAATTTACATAAATGAAGCAACAATTTGGTTTACTACGACAAGATAAATGCTATCTGTATTGTGAATAGATATTCAATATGAATATATACATATTCCAATAAATGTATAATTTATTAGCAATTATAGAGTAAATTATAAAAGTAAATACGATAGCATATCTGGACATAGTTTACATAAATTTTATATTACCTAATTATTATACATACATTTATTTACAATAAAATTAACTACATAATATTAAAACGCGTTACATAATTTGTACATGTATAGAATTTTTAAAAAGTAAAATTTCAGGGGAGCTGAAAGTTCAATGAAACTTGAAATTAATCTTTATTTTCATATTTGATAATTGGAACGGGGTGTGTTGATAATTAAATAAAATTTTAAATTAATTTAAAATTTTATTCAATTTTTAATCCTCCATTTTTTTATTTTCATTTTTAATAAAATTTAATTAACCGATCGCGAAATTTATTTAAATGTTTTTAATTTGTAACAATTTAATTTTTTATTTTAAAATCATTGTTTATCCCTACCTATCCATACTTATTGTCCTTACCTATACAGTCCCTACCTATCCACATTTATCGCCTATCTACCCGTATTTTAATTTATTCGTACCTATTCGCGTATACCAACCTAATCGCGATCATATTAAATAAATGAGCAATAAATAATAATAATTAAAACAGATTTTTAATCTTTAAAATACAAAAGAATTAACAAATAACGGGACTAATGAGAGTCAGCGCGGATAATCAAGCGCAAGTTTTGTAGATTTTTTTAATCATATATCCTCCCGAATATTCTGTTTACCTTTACAATGTACCTTTAAGAATTTAGATTGGTGTTACACACCAACCTATCCCGGTAAAAAATTTATCATGCATGAATATGTATAATTATGTATAAACATACATAACATGAATAAATATTCATAAACAAGTTTGCAATATACCTTTACAATATACCTTTAAGAAACTTAGATTGGTGTTACACACCAACCTATCCCAGTAAAAAATTTATCATGCATGAATATGTATAATTATGTATAAACATACATAACATGCATAAATATTCATAAACATGCATAATTTTATATGAAATATATCGATATATGTTCATACATCCTTTTTTCTTTTGTAAAATTACTTTTTTGTGTAACAGAAATAACAATGTGAAAACATTAAAAATAATTAAAAGGGCAATTTTCGCAATATTTATTTTAGAAAAAATCAAGTTTGGAGAAATGTAAAAAAATTATTTATGTATAATCATATATAAAATTATGCATAATTGTGTATGAGCAATTTTTTTTCATTTTTCCAAACTTGATTTTTTCCAAAACGAACAATGCGGAAATTATCCCTTTAATTATTTTTGATGTCTTCACATTACTATTATTATTTCTATTACACTAAAAAGTAATTTTACAAAAGAAAAAGGGATGTATGAATATGTATGGACATATTTCATTTAAAATTGTAAATATGTTTATGAATATTTATACGTGTTTGTGTATGTTTAGACATACTTATACATATTCATGCATGAAAAATTTTTTACCGTACAGATCTTCTTCTTTCTTCTGGCCAGATTGAACTCACTTTCCGTTGCTCCTGGCCATTATTCTGGCTTCATATGCCAGAAATCGACAATAAGGAGAAACACTCCTTTTTGCTGCCGACTAACATAGCCGGCAATAAGCGTAAGATTTTACGCTTTTGTACGATGCGCGAAACACGAACGCGTCGCGAAGGGGCCATCATATTAATGAAATTGGTTAAATATATAATTATCAATAATAATAAAAATAATTTTTCATTAATCTACGAACAAATATCGCGTTTATTCGACTAAAAATGAATTTAAATTAAAAAAACTTCACGTCAACAACGTTTTGATTTAAACAGTCTAGAATATTTACGTAAATGGATTAAATTTCTTGAAATAGACATTATATATATAAAAAACAAAACTTTAATTTAAAAATAAATTGAAAATTATTAAATTGATTATCATCCGATAAAATTCAAGGCCCATCATATAGGTACGTATTTTTAACGATTCGAACGATTCGTTGCTGAATCTCATCTCAAAGCATGCGGAGATGAAAAATTCAGATGAATGATGCAAGATCCGAGAAAGGGATAATTTTCCCTTATATACACACACACAGAAAAATACGCAAGTTACTCCATGCAAGCAATAATAACTATTTTCAAGTATTTCAAAAGTTCATATATCCGCAAATCTATCATAATTTCTTCAGAAGCATTAAATTTATTCAAAATATATTCTGAAACCTAGCACAAATATTATATATGTATTTAATATTTCAATCAAATTTATTAAATTAAAACAAATTCGATATGCTCGTTATAAAAAGTTCGTTTCTTCGATCGCTTTTATAATATTCTTCAAAAGAAAATAAATTCTTGTTTTGAGTACACAGTAATGAGTTTTTCTAAAATTTTGTAATAAGTATGTTTTAAGATTATTATAAAAAAATATTCTTTGTTAAAAAAAACCGTTACTAAAAGAAAGAAAATAAATTGAGTAATCACTTTTCTTAGCAGTAGAGATTGATATTTTTCTGTGTGCATCAATAAACATATCTGTTTGTATTTTATAAATTATTGGAATCATTTTTTGTATAATTTATTATTTCAAAATTAAGAAAAACTTTGGACGCGATTTTAAAATAATTATGAGATAAAATTCTCCTATTTCTTGACAAAATGTATATTGGATCTTACATCATGTTACTACTTTAACTGGTGTAAAATCCAGTTACTACGTATGGATAAGTTATGAAAGATTAGGCTAAAGTAAGTGCATTGAGATAGATAGTAATAATTAATAATTGTAAAAAAAATTATCTTTTATAAAAAAGCGAGATTAATAAATTGTACGACAAATGCGCTACATTAAAATATTTGTTATTTCATTAGTAACATGTATACAAATAAGTGTGAAGCAATACAAAGATTGAAAACTTTGGAAACAGTATGCATTATACATATATGTGTACGTATATTGCTTTTCTCTGCACCAATTTAAATAAACATTAATTCTGAATGAAGATT